GTAAAATAAAAAAAAAAAACAGGAAATTTGTTTCAAAACAGGTTTTAAACGGAAAAAAAAAACATCTTTCTTGTCTGTTGTTGAACACTGGCAAAATGTGTAAGTCTTGTGCATGCAACAAGTAATTACGATAAACATTTTATGCAAATAAGGGCAGAATTCTAGTGTACGTTCTACATAGTGCGATATTTCTTTGACTCCGTGTGTCTATCGAATTGAACAGGTGCTCAGTATTTTCAGTTTTACAGGTTACTTGAAGCCAGAAAATATTTTTACATTAAAAGAATTTTTTCTTACTGCATACTGAAGGATATATTCAGCGCATTTTCTATCTTATCAATGGCTTAATTTATTGTGTTGAAATAAATATAATTTTTTTTTTTTTAAATCATTTCACCCCAAGCAAAGCCATAATGTCAGTAAGACGCAAGGAGATACTCTTAGTGAAAGAGAATGAGAAGACTTTAGTGAGGAGAAAGGACAATGAAAGAACAGGTTTCAGGAAAACAGAAGATGGCGATAATGCCACTAAGACGCAAGGGGTTACTGGGAGTGAAAGAGAATGAGAAGACTTTAGTGAAGAGAAAGGACAATAAAAGAACAGGTTTCAGGAAGACAGAAGATGGCGATAATGCCACCAAGATGCAAGGGGTTACTGGGAGTGAAAGTGAATGAAAAGTTAGTGAGGAGAAAGAACAATAAAAGAACAGGTTCCAAGAAGACATAAGATAGCAATTGACATTGCGTTTAAATTTTTGAAGGCTGTAGGTGGCTGGGAATCAAGAAACCAGAATAGAGTTCCACAGGTGAGAAGTGCGAAAAAAGAAACTATTAGAATAATACAGTAAAACAATGAGACCTCGTTACCAATCTAGTACTATGCTTAAATTCTTGTGGTCGAGGAGAAAAGTTTCTTACAACTATGATGCAAATATTTATTGAAACACACACACAACATCAGATGCTTTCATAAAAATCTTTTTCAAAGAAATAATCTATAGAACACAAACACTGAAGAAAAATATTTTTCTAAATTTTAAGTGGGGGTTCAGTTTGCTACGCAAATCTATTGTAGATTGATCCCCCTATTCCAGTAGAAATAAAGGAATTAATAATAATAAAAGAAAAATGTGATACCGTATTTCATGGATATTTTGAAAGGTACTTGGACATTTGGCCGACGGACTTTTAACCGACGCATATATCTGAATGGATATTTAACCGAAAATATAGTGGCGTACTTACATGTGTCTGTCACACTCTTTATCATAATGTGCTATATATATATATTTACATTTATTTACTGTATTAATTAATAAATTTGGTTCATTTTGACAGGCTTTTTTAAAATCTACTCTGTATATATTTGATCTATTATTTATATATTACTTAAAAGATAAGTATTTTGAGAAAAACACATTTCACTACAGCAAAAATCTTCAGCTTTTACGATGCGAAAGATCTTTCAATTTTGCTTTTAATGATCATTATCTTAAAGGGATGAACTAGCTTTTATTTTACTGTTAAATATGAATTTAAATAATTAGGCGCTACATTTTACCCAAATACTCAAATATTTTTAAAGTACTAATCTCAATAAACAAATACTGAAATAAGAAAAGTTAACTTTAAATGTTGATTTTGTAATTTGAACTTGAAATTCATTAGTAATTATTAGTCCTATTCTACCTTATAATACGGCTAATTAAAATACTTAAAGTATTGCTTGTTACTATTTTTACTTGTACTTTTTCGGTGAAATATCCATCGACCAAATGTCCATTTGGCCAAATGACTCTGGCTGAAATGTCCATTGACCAAATGTTCATTTGGCCAGATGTCCTGCCACATATTTGAACTTTTATTTTTTGTGTACTTTTACAATCTTGACTATTGTTAAATTTAGCATTTCAAATGATCTTTGTATACCGAACTCTTTTATGGAGAAAAAAAACTATGACAAAGTAGAAAGTTTTCCTGTAACACATTTCATTCTTTAGGACATCATCAGACTAAATGTTGATTTGGCTACACATGTGCATAAAGGAGAGGGGGGTGCTGAAAATTTTTAATTTAAATAAAAATAAAAAAATTACTTAAAAAAAAAAAAAAAGGGAATTTTAAATACACACATGGCAGATTTTCTTCTACTGAGTGTCATGTTTGACCCCAAAAAATTTGATTAGAATTCTCTTTTGGTGAAATGTTTGTTCGGCCAAATATCACTCAGCCTAATTTCTGCTACAGTTTTGAAATTATTTAAAATTTCCTATGTAAACACTATTTTTTTGCAACACAGAAAAAAAACTTTACCTGCTTTAAATAAAATAAATCCTAATGTTTCTTATTTGAACTTGGACTTATTTAAAATTTTATAAGCTTCGGGCCATATCATGTTGAAACACTGATTCCCACATGATTATCGAAATTAAGTAATGTTGATCCTAGCCAATACCTAGATGGGTGACTATTTGGGAATACCAGATGATGTAAACTTGGCTATGCAGGTTGTGTAATGTATAGTTGCTCAAAAAATGGCTTAAGTTTATTGATACAAGTCTTACTAATTAACCCATAGCTGGGGGTATTTGCACCTAAGTGAATATAACAAACTCAGGGGAAATTGAAACTTACTTCTCCAGTATAACAATTCCAAACTATTATCCATTACATTATCCACCCACACATGCAAACTTACTGCACCTGGTATATCAAATTAGTCCACTCATGTAGGTACTGATCAGACTCAACGTTGCTTAACTTCGGTGATTGTACAGAACTGGTGTTTCAACATGATGTGGCTGTAAGCCTTTTATCAAGATGTCTCCTTATTTTTGGCATTATATTATTTATATATATATATGAGATATATATATATATCTCGCATAAAATACTTTTATGTAAACAAGGACAGTTTTTTTTTTATTTTCTCTTGAATCTAAAGCCATTATACGACATTTGGAAAGTCTCATGACAAAACATAATAGACATAGGTTGTCTGTTACATTTAAGAATATATGTTTTAATATATGTGAAAAGTGTGTGTATGTGTGTGTGTGTGTATATATATATATATATATATATATATTATATGCGTGGTACTTATTAGAAAGTGCTCAATATCAGAGATAGAGCTAACAAACTCACATCAATCCAACCAAATATGTTTTAATATATATATGTTGTGTATATATATATATATATATATATATATGGAAAAAATAACTAAAATATTCTTAGATAGTAGCAATTTTTTTATTTTTGGTAGATAATAATAGTTTGATACAAGACTTGATAATTAATTTGTAGCTGCTGGGGACAAATAGTTTATTCATACCTTTCCAAACGGTATTTGTGGGTAAGTCAATATAACAAACTCAACAAGAATTGGAACTTGACTCTCCAATTAATAAAACCAAGCTATTATCAATTACACCAAAAACATACAAGCTTACAGCAACTGGCATTGTTCACGCACCTAGGTACTGAACGTCGCTTGATGTCACACAGGGCCCTGTGTTTCGACATCTTGTGACTGTAAACCTTTATTAAGAGGTATCTCCTTTTGTTAGATTTTTTTATATATATATATATATATATATATATATATATATATATTAGTTTTCAGTGGATTTTTGCAAGATTTTAATACTCTGAAAATTAACATGCATTGTGTTCAGGAAATCTTAAAGTGTAAGTTAGAAACAAAATTATTCTTACTAAGAACACCTCTTACTTGAGATGTTGTAGAGATTTTTTTCAATTCTTTTTATTGACAGATTCACAGTTTTTAAGCTTACATTTCCCCATGGGCAGGTGTGGGTTTTCCTTCCTGAGAAAGTAAAAAAAAAAAATGTATTTTGGTTGTATTAAAACATGGAACGGTGGAACCAAGGAAAAGAGACTTCATCTTGGTGGTGTTATTGTTAGACGCAATCATTGGAAATCGTTCCATTACTGGTAACAGCGTCTGAAGACACCTGCCTGAATATAGAATTGTTATGTAATGGTATTCCAAAATTTCTCTCGTCTAAAGAAAAGCATGGAAAATATTTTGTCTTTTAACTTTTGTAGCTTATATAATTTTGAATATTCTGTCGAGTGAAGGTTATATTAAGTATGCGTTTCTCTATTTTTATGATTTTCTTTTATATGATTCTAAAATGTTGATGAACAATACATAGGATGCGATTGATTAAGCAATAAATGAACTGGAACCCAATATCTTGGTATTTGCAATATGACAGATCAAATGAAAGTTGCATTTTATAAAATAAGGATTACTTTCTGGTAACAAAATACTTGAGGAAATAATATTAAAAAAGGTTTATTCATGTTCTTAAATTTAATTCTATCTTTCTTTAATTCCTGACCACTGATAATCTCTTTCTTCTGGATTTGCAATGAGTTCCTATAGTAAAATCATTAGCAATGCATTTCCATTATACATATAATAGCCCAATTCTATCAGTAATGCTTGCCTTCATTTCTGACCACCGACAATCCCTTTCTTATTGATTTTTCAATGCATTCCTATTGTAAAATCATTATCAATGCATTTCCATTATACATATAATAGCCCAATTCTATCAGTAATATTTGCCTTCATTCCTGACCACTGATAATCCCTTTCTTATTGATTTTTCAATGCGTTCATATTGTAAAATCATTAGCAATGCATTTCCATTATTCATATAATAGCCCAATTCTATCAGTAATGCTTGCCTTCATTCCTGACCACTGACAATCCCTTTCTTCCTCATTTTCAATGCATTCCTATAGTATAATCATTAACAATTCATTTACGTTATACATATAATAACCCTATTCTATCAGTAATGCTTGCCTTCATCCCAGTCCACTGACAGTCCCTTTCTTCCAGATTTTCAATGAAATGCTTGCCTTCATTCCTGACCACTGACAATCCCTTTTTTCCTGATTTTCAATGAATTCCTATAGTAAAATCATTAGCAATGCATTTCCATCATACA